TCTGACGAAGAACAAAATGAAATGGCCTTGCAAATATTAAACAACTCGATTACACAAAAGGGTGATAAATACGAAGTTAGACTTCCATGGAAAGATCAGAATGTGACTTTAAGAGACAATTTTAAGAATGCTGAAAGACGATTCTTAAATCTGATCAAACAATTTAAATTAAACTTGAACTTTTATGCGCAATATAAAGAAGTGATTGACTATCAGCTTAAGGAAGAAATTATAGAAAAGGTCGATCTTGGTACTCCATCTGGGAGACGAACTTACTACATACCTCACCGTGCTGTCATCCGTGAAGATCATAATTCTACAAAGCTTCGCATTGTTTATGATGCTTCTTCAAAGGAAAAAAATCATGAATCTCTAAATGATAATTTACTACAAGGACCAAATCTTCTTCCTGAACTTTTGAAAGTTTTAATAAATTTTCGACTTCATCGAATTGCATTTACGTCAGATATTGAGAAAGCGTTTTTGCAAATTTCTGTTGCACCTGAAGATCGGGATTCAATGCGATTTTTGTGGATTGATGAGAATTCAAGTTTGAGCAATCCGAGAATTCAAGTTTATCGGATGTGTCGTGTAATGTATGGAGCAAAATCAAGTCCATTTTTGCTGAGCGCTTGCATTAAGCATCATATAAAGAAATTTGAAGACATCCATCCCAGAACTGTAGAAATGTTAGAAAACTTCATGTATGTTGACGATTTTATTTGTGGATCAGATACGGAGGAGGAAGCTATACAGATATATCATGAAGCCAATGACATAATGAAAAAGGCATCAATGACTTTGACCAATTGGAATTCTAATTCGGATACTGTAAAAAAACCAGTATAAATCAAGTGACAACTTCGTTAGCTTTAAATTGCCTGACTGTGATTCTCCCTCAAAGATTCTTGGACTTCAATGGGATACAATTAAGGATATCTTCTGTTTTAATGCACAAGACGTTATTGATTTCATCCAGTCAAATGACCAAACAAAACGTTGTGTTTTAAAAGCTGCTTCAAAAATCTTCGATCCTATTCGGTTTCTTGCTCCATATGTTATTCAAGCAAAAGTTCTGTTTCAGGATTTATGGCTGAAAGGTGTTGATTGGGATGAAATTATCCCACCAGAATTGCAGGACAAGTGGAACAAATGGTATAGGCAACTATGTGATCTACCTAATATCCAGATACCTGGGTGGTATTTTCGTGATGTTGATGAAACGCCTGAAACACTGGAACTACATTGTTTTTGTGATTCATCTCAAAGTGCTTACGGAGCAGTAGTGTACGTGAAATTCCGTAGCTTAAAATATTGTGGAACAAGTTTAGTGATAACCAAGAGCAGAGTGACACCCTTGAAAAAATTATCTTTACCAAGACTCGAGCTTATGGCAGCAGTGTTAGGTGCAAGACTTGTAACTACCGTCCATGTGCATTTTCCTCAAGCTAAGATTCATTTATGGACAGATTCTCTTATTGTGCTTCATTGGATAAAGAACACACCACGGCGATGGAAAACATTCGTACAAAATCGAGGTGTCTGAAATTCAAGACAAAACATCCCCAAGTATGTGGCATCATTGTCCTGGCTCAGATAATCCAGCCGACAAAATCACACGCGGTGTTAAAGTGAGTGATCTTGTAGTAGATCAAGTGTGGTGGCATGGACCTCCATGGCTTCATCAAGATGAAATAAATTGGCCTAAAGTGAACAAGCATTGTAACTAGATAGTGCTGAAGAAAGAGTTGTGACTCAAGTTACTAGCAGTGTTCAACCTTTACAACCTGTGTTAAAAATAGAAAACTTTAGTGACTTAGGTAAACTTTTAAGAGTCACGTCATATGTATTTAGATTCATTAATAATTTAAAGTCACAGAATAGAGTGATTGGTCCTGTGACCAAAAATGAAATATGTAATGCTATGTGTTATTGGATTATCTTATCACAAGGTGAGTATTTTTTTGAAGAGTTGAATGATGTTAAATGTAAAAAACCATTGTCTCATAATTCCAAATTGTTTGGGTTAAATCCAGTAATGGATGAAAAGGGTTGTTTAAGAGTTGGAAGTAGATTAGTAAAATCATCATTAGATGTCGATGAAATTCAGCCTATAATATTACCAAATAATTATTTTTCTCGTTTAATTATTTTGAATTGTCATGAAAAGGTACTTCATAGTGGTGTAAATGAAACTTTAGTGCAAGTAAGAGGAAAATTTTGGATTTTAAAAGCTAGACGTTTTGTAAAATCTGTGTTACGTGATTGTAAATTTTGTAAAAAATATAATGCTAAAGCTGAACACGAGATATCGGCTCCTCTTCCTGCTGACGGAGTGGAGAAACTCAATCATTTGAGATAAGTGGCATAGATTTCGCTGGCCCTTTGTATTTAAAGGATGGTACAAAAGTGTATATTTCATTGTTTACCTGTTTGCAGTGACTCGAGGAGTCCATTTAGAATTGTTATCAAATTTAAGTGCAGAGTGTTTCATTCAAGCCTTACGTAGATTTTTTGCACGTAGGGGTATTTGTAGAGTTATATATTCTGATAATGCTAAAACCTTTAAGACTGCTGATCGTGAATTAAAATATTTGTATAAATTATGTAAAGATAAAAAGATTCTAAATTTCCTTGGTAAATATGGGTTTGAATGGAAATTTATTGTAGAAGGTGCTCCTTGGTGGGGCGGATTATGGGAACGTTTGGTAAGATCTGTAAAAACTTGTTTAAAACGTATCTTAGGTAAAGCTTCTTTATATTATGAAGAACTGTATACTGTTTTAGTTGAAGTTGAAGCTGTTATTAATTCTAGACCTATAACGTATGTATACAATGAACCAAATGAACCTGATCCTCTTTCACCATCTCATTTTATAAAACTGGATCTAGATTGACTGTTTTACCCTTCACCTGAATCTAAATTAGAATCTACAAGATCTCAGTTGATTAAAAGATGGAAGCATAGGCAATTAATATTAGAGCATTTTTGGAAAAGGTTTTTATAAAGAATATTTGTTAGAATTAAGATCAGTCATGTTTTCAAAAACTCCAAAGAATTCTCCCGTGTTTAAAATTAATGATGTTGTACTTGTGCGAGAAGATAATGTGAAACGCTGTAACTGGAAGATAGGTAGGATTAAGGAATTATTTCATGGAAGAGATGATAGAATTAGATCTTGTGAGATTCAGTTGGATAAGGGTGTTATTAGAAGACCAATTGAAAGACTTTATAATCTTGAAGTTCAGTAAAATTGATGCATCCGTTACAGATGCATGGGGGGGGGAGTGTAAAGTTTAGGATTGTGTATCCATAGATCGCCAATAGATGGTGGTAGTGTTTGTTTGTAAAAAGAAACTGTGATGTCAATTATGTATATGTATCAGTTCGTCTTTGGTGTTCGTGAATAAATGTTGTGTGGAAGAACGCTCCTCTGTTTATTACTTTAACTGCTTTCCAGTCTGATTTATTAGAGATTTACACATATTTTGTTTACCCTTAAATCACACTACTGCCCCAGCAGTGGCCGAGTGGCTAAATAGCGCTGATGACTAATATTTCTCCCTGGGTTCGAAGGCTAGGCGTACGTTTCTCTGTAACGTAAATACAAGCCACTTTCCGTTCAAAACTCCTCCACGGAGGTCTTCCTCCCTTAGACAGCTTTGGTGTGCTTTGCAACATTCAAGTAACCGAACCAAGTTAAATTATCAATCAGAAAAATATTTCGATTATGTTAAATTTTATAATGTGGTAATTAAAATGCAAAAAAGTATCAGTTAAAAAGTCAGTAACTGTTAATATGTTCTCTGGAACAGAATGTAAAATTTAATTCGGCTTTCTATAGCACTCTAATCTTAAGCTTCGGATAAAACTCTGCAGAAAAATTAAAAACGACAGATGCCAAAGAAATACACCGATTTCAACTTACAATTCAAATGTCGGTTTCGTAGAAAACCTTAACGCATTTTGAAATATAATATGACACACGCCTCTGTCTTTCAAGTGAAATTTATTCTTAAAATTTCTTCATTTAAAGAGACGAAATAAAAATATATAAAGAGAAAGAAAGCGTCAATTGTGGCCCCATTTTTGACCAAAAGGCGATTCATATCTGCGTTATGTACATTCCTACACCGAAAGTAGCTTATAACTGTTTATTAAAGTTCTAGTTTATGAAAATAAGTAAAAAAATAACTAAAAGCTGAACAAATATGTAAAATTTAAATTTGCTTCTTAAAAGCCTATTCTGTAGTGATAAGTATTTTTTTCGAGCCATGTTAACAGTTTTCCTTAATTTTACTTTAAGCTTTACCTACCTCTTTCATTTGACACCATTAAATATTATCTAAGGCTTTTGAACAGTATTTGGAAAGACAAAACTAGACCAAAATCCCTTAGCTTATCATAGTAGATAGATTTTCGGGAATTATACTGGGCTTCAAATCATATAATTCACTAAGGAAGAAATATTTTGACGATTTTAGCTGATATACGTGAGTTCGTAAAATTATTGAATGATTTGTGGATAATTATTGAAGAAAGATTTAAAATGCTTACTATTGTTGATGAAAGTTTTTTACTCTTTAAAGCTAAATGCTTTCTTCGTTCGACCGGCATTGTTAATACATAATAAAGGAATTCTCTGAGGATTTAAGTCCAAGACGAAGTCAAACAAACCAAACTTTTTATTAAAAGAAGAGAGATTAACTAAACTTGAGAATCCAAGATGTTTCCATTCAATAAATAGTGAGGGATAAATTAGAAAAACAACAATGTTATTGTGATTAATAACAGCAGTACGCTGTTTGAAATAATAATAAATGCTCTATTTTTCATCTTTTGCTATCGAGGAATTCAATTATTAAGTCGTAATTGTTGACAGGTTTTTCCTTTCTGTCAGTGACCAAGCTTATACGAAACTGAGTTTCATTTAGATGTAATAGTAGTAGCATTTGTAATTCTAAAAGGCTAGTAATAAATAAATATATTAAATACATACATGCTTCTTTTCCTTTTTCTTGCTGCATATTTAATCCTCTGACTTTCAAAACACTGAGAGTGAGATTCGCCGTGTCTGGATTATAACACAATGAAAATAGCATCTCTCCGCTTGCGCTGTGGTGCTAAAAAATAGGAAAAATATAAATGCAAAACATATTTACAAGCAAAGTCTATAAATCGCTAAAAATCACCTATAAAAAGGAGAAAAATTATATTACAATATTTTAATCATGAAAAATATTTCAAATTCTAGCATGTTGTCATTATGGGAATTGACAAAGTGATATTTAAATTTGGTAATCAGACCCATCACTATAACTTTGGTGGTGTGTTTGTCTAAATCAGCGGTCGTCAATCCTTAGAACTTCACGGACCACTACATATATAATTTTATATTTGGCGGACCACTAATATGACTTTTTTAAAAAAAAGGTAAATACATTTATACTGTAATAATCAGCAAACTACAAATATTTCGTTCACACTGAAAAATTACATGATAAGCACAAAAATCTTTCCTTCTTGTACAGAGAGCTTCACATTTCTATATCGCTGAAATGGAACTTTACGAAAAGTAAGAACAAACCGGCAACCCAAAGCAATATCGATAGACTGACAGTGTTATGCCGCCAGTTTTTAATTATTGTAAACATAATAATCATCGCTTACTCAGCAACGGCTCCCTCGATCAACAGTTAGACAAAACAAAAGCGGAAACTTCTACTGATTCAATTATACACAAGAATGCAGATGGTTCTCATAAAAATTCATCAAGATGCCTATTGACACAGAGAAAAACTGTGTTATTAACGACCACAATAGCATATGTTTGTAATTGAAAAGGAAAGAGAATTTCATTTCGTGCTATTATTGATAACAGCAGCATATCCATGAATGCCAACTCTCACTTTCAAATGTCGCTAGATTCACCTGAAAAAGTCGCTAAATTCAGAAGGAATTTCGTTAAAAGTAGTACCTAAAATTTTAAAAAAAAGTATAATCCATATTCCATAAAAGGTTTTGTTACTCGTCATTTTTTAAACTTAACCTTCCTAAAAATATAAATAATGTCCCAATTTTTCTGTGGACCATCAAAACGTTTTCACGGACCACCAGTGGTCCGTAGATTACTGGTCTGGCTACCGCTGGTCTAAATTATCTTACTGTTAAACATTATGATATATTTGATTCAACGTTTTTAGTAATTTTCTCTTAACATTGCATTCTATGACAATAGTTATCATATATTTTTAGACGAGATCCCTTGGCGATGACTATGAATTTAATTAAATTACACGACAAAATTTCTCAAAAGACTTTTAAAATAAGTGCAGGGTTTTCTTCAGATTATTATGGTGGTTTTCTATCAATTAAAGAATACATATCTACAGAGATACTTCATGTGGCAAAGGACGTAGTTTTATTGCCTTTATCACTTAGAGAAAACCATTATTATAAATTTAAAAGATTAGAAAAAACATTTGTGCTTATTAATTGTATATTTGAGGTGTTTTTTTTTTTTTTTTTTTTTTTTTAAGATTTTAATGACCTCTGTAAGTTAAGTGCGTTTTTTAATAGCTTCTTTTCGATAATACTAAAAACTGATGGATGCTTTCTAAAACAATCATTGGCAGGGTCTTCGGCTTTTTACTTCTTAACTTATGTTGTATAAACCTTAAACTATATTTACGATAGTTTTACCTGCTCTGTAACAAAGCATGAGCAATAAAAGAACTTGGGAAAAAAAAGCTAATTTTTTCTCAAACTGATGTATTTTTTTTTTTTTTTTTTTAACTAAGGGGAAAAAGTTTATTTTTTCTCAAACTTTATTCTAGAACAATGAATGCTGTTTGGCCTAGTTATCCGGTCAGATTTTTTGTATTTATAAAGTTTGACTTATTTTGATAACATAAACTCCTGACAGACAATAAATAAATTATCACTATGACAGTACTACAAAGTCTCGAGAAGGTTTAAAAAATCTTTTTATTACATGAGAAAAATGAACATCTAAGAACTATGAAAGGGGACTAAGCACGTCTCATGCTTAACAGGATCAGTCAACAACCTGCGGCGACGTAACTTAAAGTAATAGTAAATTCAAATTTGAATTTAAAACTAAATCTAGCCGAAGGCTATGTAATAACTTACTTAATCTTCTATTATCGGTGGTTCTTGTGTTCTATTGGCCAAACAAAGACACTTTCCTTTAACTAAATCTATTTAATGAAGAGAAGACTATGTACAAGTATTATATACAGATTACAGGATATCTAGTTTATACCTCTCTCAACCACTCTCATCAACCTCTCAACACTCTCTGCTGAAAACTCTTAATTAGCTAAACATGGAGGCGGCGCAGCGCCCTCTATCTCTTTTTTCTACATCACTCCCCACCTGTACTCTTTAATAAAAGTACACAAACTTACTTACATAACAATATTAAC